GGTGTACACTTGTACACGTACATGAATGTTTTTGGTGTAGTCTCCCCCATGGGTATGTATATTGTACACGTACTATCCACCAGTGTTGTAGTCGAGACCGGAAAGTCCAAGACTGAGACCAAGACCGAGATCTCAGCTCCCGAGAGTCCGAGACCAGCAAAAAGTGGTCTGGAGACCAGTCTCGAGACCCAGACCAGTCTCGAGACCTACATGTACAACACACTGCTATCCACCAAATACAACTTTGTGAACAACACCAACAACAGGTGGGCATGTTTCAAAAGTGGTCATCATAGAGGTAAAAAATTAAAAAGCCTTAAACAAGATTTACAAATCCTTATTTTTAAAGCAGATTAACCTAATTTTACTATTTTGAATAAAAATTTTTTTTTTTACATACTTATCTCAGTGAAAAGTTGCTTTAATAGTGTGGCCAGTGAAATCAATTCATGTCGGACGGAATTTTTTGCATTTAAAGAAAACCCATCTCATAATAAGTAGAAATGCCTTGAATTCTATCTTTTCCACAAAAACAATTACTTAGATTGTCTTCAGTCATTATCCATTTCATCATTATTGCTGCTGCCGTAAATCTTGGTATTTCATTTCAAATGATAATTTTTGTTATCAAGATTTCCGTCCGACATGCTTAAGGTTGTTAAAATGTTGTTTTTTTTAATTTACTTGTTTTAATAAAAAGGCAAATATTGTCAAGTATCAATGAATAGACTCAGTATTAACACCAACAAAAAGTTTTATGTTTCACCTTGTCACCCTTCGAGATAAAGTGAATAAAAGTGCTTTCCGTCCGACATGCATGTCGGACGGAATGGTATATGTCGGACGGAAATGGACTTTACATTCCTAGATAGTTGTGCCTCGGGGAACTGATATTAATAATTGTTAATTAATAAACATAAAGTAGGGGATAAAGAACTTTTACCAAGTTGATATTGTTCTTTGCTCATTTCAGTACCATCAAAGCAAAGCCTACACAGGACAGTAAGATTCCGTCCGACATGCGAAAATCCAAATTTAGCCAAAGTTGAACAGGCTGACTTGTTTGGCAGCCTACTGACCAGTCACACACCTGGGTTTTTCCAATAATTAAGGCAACCTTCTATATTCATGGGAATTAAACTGTGCAATGTACATTAATCATAATCATGTACATTTTATTCTTTTTGGACTGATGATGGCTTTTACATATTTGTGTTAAGATAGTGAGGTTCGGTAGACATTATTACAATGTACCGTAGGTGAGGGCATTTAAACTGTATCCAGGTAATTTGGCAAGTACATGTACCGGTATGTGTGTGTAACACTCACCTATACTGGCATATATGTTTTTATCTAAATATTAATAAACCAAACATGTCTATTGTGTTACATGAACTTAATAATTTGGAAAGTATCGTTATAATGTGTCAGAGCAGTGAAACAATGCTAGCTGTAAAATGCTATACATATACAGAGCATCAATGCATCCAGAAGATTACCATGCCCCAAAGAAAGAGAGCGGAATAGCAAGATCAGGGAGCAATTACACATGAGAAATACACACAAGGAGAAATGAACTTGTGAAATTTAAGGATAGAACACACAAAAAGAAAACTGTGCCAAAGTGAAGCTGTGTAGCCCCCCCCCCCCACATATTTTATAATGATTGCTATTATTTGCCTTTTTCCACTAGTGTTTATCCCCCCCCCCCCCCCAGGGGCGGATCCAGGAATTTTTGCCCCGGGGGAGGGGGGGGGGGGGGGTTTCATCGGCAAAAAAATCTGAAATATAGACAGTGTTTTTGACAGGGGGGGGGGGGGGGGGGCTTGTACCATACTTTCAATGGGGGCGCTGTTCAATCCGACAATTATTAACAATACATGTATATCACGAAATGGTGTACATACCGGTACATGTATGCCCCCTAACTAAGCTGGCTCTGTCCGTATTTTGTGCAAAGGCGAACATTATTGCCAGTAAAAACAATGTGGGTGTCGGAGTGGGGGGGGGGTTAACATTTTTTTTATTAATTTCTATGGGAAAACAATTTTTTTTACAGAGCTGGGTTTTGTTTTTACCCCCCCCCCCCCCCCCCCCCCGAATCCACACCTGCCCCCCACCCACAACATTTTTCAAAGAGTGTCCTTTTCGTATAAACGAGGGTCCTTTTTTAGCATGCCTTTTGTGAGTGCCCAATCCGGAAAATTGCGCAAATATTAGCAATTGTTCCTGTATAAATTAGATATATTTTAAACCACCAGTAGTAATATTCTGAATGCATTTTGTCAGAAAATTTAGACATTGTACATGGACCTGAAGTGGATAATATTTGTTAGCTAAAAAACCTGTCTGAAGATTGCAATTATTCATGTTTGTACAGAGGATGTAAACTGATGTACTGAAAATCATGTCGGACGGAATGAAGCATGTCGGACGGATTTTTAATAATCTTTCTCACACAATTGTAAGAAGCTTGCTTATTAGTTCATTATAAGTGCCCAGGTGGTAAGCACAGTCAACTACCTAAAGACCACTATCATTAAAATTAAGTTTCTTCAAACTTTGTTTTTGGGTCAACATAGTGATTCCGTCCGACATGATTTGTTCCGTCCGACATGGTGTGGCTTCAGCTGAGCTTAACTGAATATGACATAGTGTTGTAGAGAAAATATATACGTCAGGATAAGTAGTGATTGTTACTCTTCTTGACATAAAACATAGAAAAAAATTATCCCTCAAGTTTTGATAAAATCTGATTTTGTTTCTGAAATTCTGAGGAGGCTCATTTCTATCGATTCCGTCCGACATGTACACATTTTTCGTAATAACAGACAAACAAAAGTGTGGAATTTAGAAATAATGTTAGGTGTCATTACTTAAAATCTTTGGTGGTGTTTGAAATCAGAATAACATTTTAATGTATTCTAAAACAAAAATTGTTACATTTTGTTCTATCAAATTCCGTCCGACATGATTTGGGGACTTTTGAAACATGCCCAGTTACACCTGCATGTACGGTACATGTACAATGTAGATGAAAATACCATTGGGTTAAATTGTACTGTCCAACTGCTCCAACTACATGTACGGTACCGGTACATGAAAATGTATTAGGCTGCATCCGAATCAATTGTCTAGAGCTACATGTAGGTCTAGGTCCACGCCAATTGAAAATACGAGGGGACGTGCTGACAATAGACGTAGCCGTAGCTCTGGAAGCCCGTTTCGGACACGGCCTTATTGACAATGCACTTGCATGAACATGAAACTTTGAGAAACTTAAACACATTCATGAACTAGTACTACATGTATGTACATCATGTACATTATGTACATGTACAGTCTGGTCAAATTTACTACATGTGCCCGTATGCTCCTGTTAAAGTTGTACTTACCATATCCTTCCATGTTTACTGGTACAAACTACATTTCCTATACTGACATGCATAACCACTGCATAGAATGTTATCAATCACCGTATGGTGTTCCAGAATGTCAAAATAATAATAACTCCAGCAGGATCCCTGTCTGCCATCTGCCAGCTACCACCAGCCATAGTACCTCCCAGATGACCTCCAGCATGTTTGACCCTGTGACCTTTGCCCTCACGGCTCAGCATGGCACATGTGACTTGAGGAGGCAGGGGGTGTATTCCTAGGGCTGTTTTTGTAAGGATTTTGGGCCAGCGGTACCACACTGGGGCCAATCTTGTACACCACACTGCTATGGTCATATTTGTATAAATTGTACACTATGTCTATGGGTATAATGCGCGGTAAACATTTAATTAGTCACTTCACCTTGACTTTAGGCCAGTTAGGGAGTTCACGATTTAGTTTTGGTTTGATGATAATGAAACTCAACTTTGTTTGTGAAACTCAAAATGACAGGAAGGACCCTCCTGGAAGTTAGCTGGCCTTTTGGGATTCAGATTCATTGTTATTACATTTAGAGTTTCAGAGAAGTTTTTTTTTCATTGCTCATACACCAACTGAATTGGATCCATCCTTTGCAATTATTTTATGTTGGACTGACTTTTACCGTCTTTGGGGAGGATTCTGCTTGAATCATTGGAAACTAAAGAGATGGATTTATAGCCTGAATCTTGGGTTTACTGCAGCATAGACTACGGTTTACCCAAACATTAACCTGTTTGAATGATAATGGCTAACACACCTGGTTTTCTCCAGCATGTTTTATCGCAAGCTTATTGGTCTGGATCTTATTACATTAAATTGGTAATGATTAGGGTTAATGAAATTCTTGTATCAAGTTACGTGTAATCAATACACCACTGTTTGAATACACATGGCGTTTGCAATTCACAATCAAGCTGCACCATTAAAGGATGCTCGAACAAAATCATTCGAACTTAACTGCTGTCTGAACATACAATTTGATTTATATGTAAAAACTTTTTGGCCGACTTTTTTTTAAAGGTTTGACCCTTTTTGGGACATTTTGAGTCTATAACATGTCATATGTGCATGTAGTTGATGTCTGTGACAGTTTGTGACGTGTACACTTGAAACCAATGAAGAATGACAAAGTTAGCAAAACCTCTTTCATGGTGTACAGGTAGGATGTTTTGTAACCATTCTAGTCTTCTGCACTTCGCAACCATTCAAGTTCTGCAAAACCACTTTTGCCCATCAATGATCAAGTAAGCACCCACACTTCAAATTCCTTTGAGGTAATCTTCTGTGGAATATGGAACACTTCAAATCCCTGCACAATTCTTTTGTGCGGTTATTAGCAGGCACATTTGGTCACGCTTCACTGCTCTCACTGTTTCTGTGTGTGCAGTGACTCTCTGTGTGATACAGTTACTAGAACATTTCATATCCCTTCACCTGGAACTGTTTTATTAATCTGAATACTGACTTCCCACTGGGAGGCTTAAGGATGTTTTTAGGGTTGTACCTATGAAAATTGCCACAGCCCAAATATTTCAAAGTAGATTCGAGTGTGGCTTGTTGGATTGTGATGTAAACACTGACCTATTGAATCCATTGTCACTGTTGGCATACTTCTGAAGCCTTGACAGTGGGGTAAGCAGCTCATCGTTAGTTGGGGTGTCCAACGCTGACGATAACAACTGGAAGTCATCCGACTTTTCATCACCGACTGCAATTGGTAAACAATGAAAAAGAGAAAGGAAAATGAATAAGGGACTTGAAATAGACTGACACGGGGAAATGGTGCAACTCGGAAACCTGTGAACTGAAACAGATTCATTTGAGTAAGATATGGCGACTAGAAAGAAAAACACAAGCAATGTAAACGATTACACCTTGACGTGAATGTTACGTACATGTACCGGTATGATAGAGGGCGCTGTTCATAAGATCCAAAATGCAAGCCTTCCGAGATTGTGGTACAGGGTGTGCAGCACCTTTAAGTGTCGGTTCTTTTTTATGACAGACACGTTCATCACACATCACCCATAATCACATTTGCACTTCACAGACATAATACACTGATGCTATCTGTGATTTTTTTTTTTTTTTTTTTAACCACTATTTCTATTGCAATAATTTAGTAGGTTTTGATTGAGATTCTTAGCATCAAGCACACACAATTTTCAATGTCTGGTTTCACTTTATAATTTTACCAACACAATTTTTTTTTACTGAAATGTACAGATTTTTGTATGGTTTCGAATCGGTCAATAAAAAAGAAAAGAAATGTACCAATACCGTAGTGCATTTACAAGCAATGTACAATCTGTTCACGAACAGAGTCAAAAGCCTTCCCTCAACTCATGAACTCTTTGAAATCTTCTTCGGAGCTTTGATTAAGCCTAGTCAAAGGCTCATTTCTATTTTCTGGCTGGTCGATAGGAACTGAACCCCAACAGACTCAATCACATTTAATGGCGGCAACAAATTCCAGACTAGCCAGTGAAAAGAAATGACTTCATACTCCAATCTCGGAAACAATCAGCCGAGGTAATACACAAGGGAGGAATTCACTGGAAAGTAAATTGATTGACTTGGTTTCCAGTTGTATTGATTGGCGCTGAGACATTACATCCGGATTCTTTATTACAACATCAAAGGAATTTATACGTTAAATATTTCCCTGCTTCTTAAAGGGACTCAACATGAGATGTTGAGAATACTTTACTGTAACCTTCCTGATCCATCAAAATCTACCAGAAAGTTTGGAGGACTTTGCGGGATAGACCTTACGCATTAACCTAACTCCCTAACATGATTTACTAGGAGCCATACCCATCCTGGCAAATTCCAACACCATATGGAAAAATGCACACACACATTTCTGACTTGATTCTGGAGGTGTGCCAACCCAATGTAAAAGACTGTCAGTTTAGGGGTACTGTACCCATCCTGATGGATTCCAACAAAACATGCCGTTGGGGTTTGATGGGTTGAGTTCTGTTAGGCTTAAGGCAGAGCATACAGACAGAGATACAAATATACCAGTATACTGGTAATGGCGGTATGCAGAAGGTTAATAGCCCAAACAAAATTTCTTTACAATAAAATGTTACCGGTACTTGGGCAAGAAATTTATTTCTATATTCTTTATGTCTATAAACTGAACACTTACGACTCATTGACCTCAACTTTATGACTTTGGTTAAATACCCAAGGCCAGAATCAAATACCAAACCATTTAGGTATACAGCTTTGCTTACTACTGTAATGTGTACACCCCCCCCCCCCCATTTTTTTTGGGTCACTTGCATCACATTTCATCTCCACACACCTCCATTGGAATGAGCACAGGGGAAGTGGGATTCTATATTTGCATCAGAGGAATGCAAGACTCTCCGTTGAGCATGTGTAGTCAGGAATCAGTTAGATGACATCCACAAACAGGTGTATGGATGAGGATTTCATATTTATGAGCTTGGGTCTAGCACAGACTCATTCAGACCTTGTATTTAAAAGGCTGTGGTTGGGATATAAATCTTGAAGGAAGGAATGAAACAAGTGTTTAATGGCTGAGGGGGTGATGTGAGATCATGGAGACTTTCTCACCATGGCACGCTATCGGGAATATTCTGTGGCATCTACTCCATTGCTAATCATAAAATTGCAACTCAAACAAATTCACAATTAAATTTGATCATTGCATTGTTCAAAATACAGATGTCACCCAAAATGAACTACGGTACATGTACATGTACAATGTTGTAAGTATGTGCTAACCAGTGAGGAAATGTACATGTCCGTGTATTGTGTTTTATGTTTTAGTCAAACATACAAACATGCGTACATATGTTACAGTTATTAAAGATCGTGTCTTACAGTAAAGGTACATGTAATAGGAATAAAGAGCTAAATTAAAAATTCACTCCTCACGTAGAATTCCTCAAGTAGATGACAGGAATATTCTAGCACATCAAACAACAGTACATAAACAAACTCTACACAGTACCTACCGATTCAAAATAAATCTGGAATAGTGATCTCATCGGCACTGCATAAAAAATGAGTAGTCAACCACACTTGGTTCAAAAGGCTGTTCTGTAGACATTACAGGCGATATCAAGTCCAAGTACGGGAGTAAACCGCCTGATGCAGTGTGTACACAATCCTTTCAGCCCACGTCCCAAGTCCTAGAAGCACCTGTACTAATACACCTGTTAACAAACTCCATCTTTCCCGTAACCACACACCCATGCTCCGTGTTCCCTTTGCACTGAATCCAATCCGCAGTGTGTCCCACAGACAAACAGAGGCGTCTGTTTTATAAAGCAAGGGCACTGCTAGGGGGGCCTCTTCATCGCAAACAACATCCCGCGGAGAAGATGCCTTCCCACCATGCACTGGGGTTGGCAGAGGGGGCGGAGTGAGGCCGACTGACTCGTCTCAGCGTTACTTGCCAGGCAGTCAAGCCCAGCCAGTAACACAGTAGGGGAACCTGACCCTATTTTCTTACAATTAATCGAGGCCAGTGAATGAAGGCAGTAAAACAAAAGTGCTGTTGGATATCACATGCGAGGCTTTCCACACCAGCCCCGAGGACGGATTGGTTCAGATCGGATCGGCCGATCCAAAACCTACGCTTGTACCTCACGGCAGGATGCAAAAGTTATCCCCACAGATAGCAATCGGGAACACCACAACTACATACCGACTCAGTTATTTCCCCGTCGACAACTAATAGAGTTTTGATCAGCGCTAACAGCCGCAGGAATTCGGCAAAACAGAGTGGGGCGATATATTTGACAACAAAAACGCTGGGTCCTGGGCCAAGGAGGCATGCTGCCCATCAAGAGCCAGTCAGCGATCCAGCGGAGGGAACCCCAGGTGTCTACATTCCCACGACCTTTGGCACCTTCTCCAAACTACTGTTATCCCGTAACAGAGTGATTTGCCCGATAATTTGCCCATAATTATCACTAATGGGCATCAGTTAAGCAGCCACGATTCCATACGTGGGCTTCTCACACGACATGACCCTTGAGCTTTAAGGAAAAAATATCGAAACACATTAGGTTTTTAATAAAATTTATTTATCGATGAGAGAGCCAGCAGTGAGCTAAATGCTAGATAAATTTAGAAAATACCTGATATTAACAATACAAATTGCTCTCATCTGTACACAACTACACATGCTTAATTTACGATAACATTTAGTGCATCCAAATATTATTGGAAAGTTGTAATTGGGTGATTTTTTTTTTGGTACACTACATTGTACACTGTGCATTTACATGTGTATATATCCATTCATTAAAAAAAAAATTAACATTTTACTCATGGGGATATTTTTTTTAATGACAAAATAGATCTCCAAAAACTCCAGTAGCTCTAATCAACCGAGAAGTGCTTCTAAATAAATCTATGAATGGATAGTGTAATTCATTTACGACTTTGTCTGGTCCTAAAAATAGCTATGCAGGCAGTCCAAATATGTCTGCCCCAGTGAAAACAAATCGTCCGACGAGCGCTCGCACAATTTTTTTTCTTTCACATAATGTCAAGTTTTGTTGAGGTCTATTTCGAATCCGGACCTAAATCAATCGAATGTGACATGCGTCGTTCTGATTGCCAAAGTATCATGTTTTTTTTTGTATATGGGTCAGCTCAAATACATGTAGCTATTTTATGACGTTATTTGCTTTGGTTGCGTACGTGTGCAATGTTCCGAGTTCAGTGGATCTCTAGAGGCTGGGGCTGAGACGCAGTCTTTTTCTTTCTGTCCTGCACGATTCACAGCAAGCGGCCATTATAACGAGGTGCTCGGTATTTGACACACATGTCAACAATTTCTTCAGACTGCCGGGAGAAAAACACGAACACTGTCAAACTATTTGTATCTTGTAAGTTGAGTGTACATGTACATGTATGTTATCTAGGGAGTTTGACTTTCGAAAGCCTAGTGTACATGTAGATGCTATGTTTTTTCGTTGCCAAGGTAACTGACGACTGACGTACACATGTACATGTACACGCACAGGTAGCAGGTAATACCATAAATAAAACTTGCGTTGTTTGTGGTAACATGAAGAATAGGTATGGAATCTGTTGTATCCGAGTTTCTGAGAAGAAATATTTTCCAGTGTAACTTGATGCTTCTAAAAACATGCTCTTTTTTAATAATGTGAGTTCACAATTTGACAAGCACTTTTTTTTTGGGTGATACTTTTTAGCGGGAAAAAAACATTGATAACGAGAATGGACTGCTAGTATACAATTGTATACATCAGCAACTTTCACACAATACAATGGTAAGTGTGCCTACGGTACATGCATGTACATACTCACACCTTGATATCCCCCCCCCCCCAACAAAAAAAATAAAAAAAAATTGCAAAGCTTGTGTTCCCGCAAGAAAGAAAGACTGTACGAAATAAATGGTTTCACTCTTTATGTAATACATGTACGTACCTTCAAATACAGTTAAAGTTAGTGTACAGTTGTTGTACTGATCACAATTAAAGAACAGGAAAACAATACAGTACCCCCTCCCACAGTGTACATGAAACACCTGCTAATAACCAGCCAACAAGAATGCAGAGTGAACAACTCCTCACACCAGAATGGTCCTGACAAGGCCTGATGACTGAACAGGTCACTCAGTGATCTGACCAGCCCTACTGACCACCCCCCATGGGGTACGGCTTGATAGAGCCAGACCACATGTCCCCATCAGGTCACCCCAAGCAGGCACCTACCTGTAACTCATGCACCTGTACTCAAGCCGTCAAGGACAAGCATGGGAATCCACCAACCACACAGTCAATTACGAGTTATAGCTCATATAAAACAAAGGGGAACCCACTGCCTGTGCACAACGTACTGTACAGTACATAACTTGGAGTTCTGTTGCAGCCATGTGGCACTTCAGTATGCCACATCACAGCCCGCCTGGGACATGTGAAGGGTTACTGCACATGCTCAGTTGCTGGCAAAGCGACCCTTTGACCCCAAGCTGACCTCAACTGACCTGCGGGTTCAACTCATAGTGCTGTCTCCAAAGTACATGTGCAGTGTACACATACAGAACTTTAGAAATACATGTACAGTATGTACTGTACCCACACATGTTTAACACCTTTGTACTGTAAACTACATCCAAAAATGCAAACAAGCACAATAAATTTCACAGACAGGCAAGTAGACGTTAACGGTACATGTTCATGTAAATACCGGTAGTGCACATAAATGTGTGTGGAACTTGTAAACATGTACAGCATTCACATAGAGAATATCAATTATCAGAGGACTGCGGGTAAACTTATGGTCTGACTTCAGACATTTTTTACCACATCTGTGTAAACAATTTTGTACATGTACATCTATGATGTATATGATGGCTCAAAAATGATTGCACTGCATTGAAGACATTTTTGTCCCAAACAGATTTTTGTCTGACAAACATGTTCACCCACTAGGATACAGCATGTATTACATGTGTATGTACAAGTACATGTACTACGCGTATACAGAAAGCTACCATACTCTACCTCATGTGTAGCAGTTTTTGGACTTTGATATTTTTTCCCATCTTTTTAAATCTAATATCTAAACGCCTGTTTGTCTTTTGCTATCAGCGATATCTATCCATTCTTTACCAGTGCACAGTAGCACGTGTGTTTGGAGCACGTTGCCACGATGCTGCTGACAATCTCTTTCATAATGGCTACATTCACATGTGTAACTGAATGTTGACAGGACCTAGTTGTCTGGCCTTAAATGGGATTTGGTCTCTGTTTGCAAACCAAAAGAGCTCCAAAATAAATGAGGTCTCTTGTTCATGAAAGTTTACGAATTAAAAACAGCTTCTCTGTAGACAGGAAAGAAAAAGCATGGCCGGCAAGCAAAAGATTCAACTGTAAAATGAGTTACTTTGCATGGGGGGGGGGGGGTGTAATTAAGGAAAATTGGGGGGGGGGGGGGGGAGGGGGCTTCAGATCTGAATGCCAGACAACATTTACATGTACAACATCCTTGGTACATGTCCTGCATACTGTGTTACCAGTGACTGCAGTATTAAATAAGCAATTATAATAATATTTCGCAATTATTAGTAATTCTATAGAATATTACAAATATGCTTTTAGATAATTTTAATGAGTTATATTACTACTAATGAGTAATAATAAGTACATTTTGTTAGTAATGAGTAATAATTCCAATAGTAATTATTTTAATGAACTGTACAGCTGTCACGTACCTCCACATGCATTTTTATCAGAAACACATTTGGGCAATTCCTTGGTTACGCACGTTACATTTTCGTAACGTGAGTAACCGATTTTGTGCGTCTTGTTTATCATACATAACACATTTGTCTGGATCTCATCTTTGGTGCTTAGGTAGGTCTAGGTCTACTCTATCTACCATGGGGATAACAGTTATTAAACCTTTTCAGTAAGGTAATTACAGCCCAAGAAAACTCAGAAGTACAAAAGTACATAAAAAATGTAATGCAAGTAACCGTGGAATTGCCCATTTGCTTTCAAAACAATGTGTTAAAAATTGTTCCTATAGATGTACATGTACAGGTGCATCACTGCTACTTAACAATTACAGCAAGACACAAACAAGACGGTCTGCTTACATCCATCACTCACCAACAAGAAATGTAGGAGTTCCAACCCCACAGATACAACAACACCCTACCCTCATTATTGCCCACCCGGCCAATCAAACAAGGTCTTATTTATTTTACCAGCCAGGGACCCGGGGTCTCAGAGCCCGGCCATGATTGGTCAAAGTTGACACGGGCCTGTCAACAGTGACTAGGGGAAGGTGGTGTTGGTATTTGAAGAGAAATTGATTTATTGATCATTATGAGAACAAATTTAGTCACTGGCTGATGCCCCCCCCCCCCTACCGATTTACTGGACAATATTGAAAGGCAGGATGAATGAGCCAATGCAAATCTTAGTGGAGTGAAAAATGCAGGAGTTCAATACATGTATAGTGCATAACGTACGGTACAGGGCTCAATTTTATGCAGCTACTGGTACTTACGCTTGGAAAAATATGGTCAGGGAAAAAACCCAAATCAGTCAAGAACTAGAGACAGTCATTTACAATATTGCATGACATTTTTGGCAGGTTGCCAGAGTTTAGACTAGGTAAGCACAGCCATAGGATGCTAAGTATCGCTACTAATATACAGTTCATGTATGAAAGAGCTCCGATCCAGCATTGTCATACTTAAGCTTAATGTACATACATTTTACAGGATATTTTTTGTAAATTTTATGTTTTAGAGCCTTGAGTATTTATCTCCATCATGACCGGGAGGGGAGGGGGTACTGTGAAGCATCTTGTAATAGCTCCAGAAAGCTCCGTCCAATCTTCATGAAATTTGTTTGGTTATTTTTGATAACTTTTATCAGGGGCCAATATAGTACAAAACCAAATTCCTTAGGATGTCCATAGTTCCATGGAAACAGTTTTAATATTTAAAAACACATGAAATTGTAAAGTATGCACTTTTGTGAGTCACAACAATGTTTTCTTTGTCCAAACCTATCTGCATGTAGTATTCACTCTAGACTAAAATTCCAGGTCATGTGACCATCTACAATGCATGCTGGGAATCCACTATGGCAACTGCTGGTACGAAAAGCTGCTTTCCATTTTTCACCTTTTCTGCACATTTTCTTAAATGTGGGGTACAAATGGTATACAAATTTATAAAAAAATTGGGGGGGGGGAGGGGTTGGGGGATGCAAAATCAAATGATTTTGACTACATTGTACCTTCAACTTTTTCAAGGGCTTCTTGTCAAGATATTCGTCAAATAAGCCACCATCTTGGGACAGTCATTTCAAACTACAATGTACTTCCCCTCCAACCAATAATGTAAGCACCCCCAATAAGAACATCTGACAGTGACATTTGGCTTGAAATTTCATACCTTCACAATTACTGAGTAACATAAGACAGTTGGAAAGATGTCACCTGCGTTGGGTTTCTGAACACACATTCATGTAACCCACAATAGACATGAACATGTGTTCACAATCTGCTTTCGCAAGTACCCAAGTTTGAAATTTACAAAGGTGTCATGTTTTATTGGAGAAATATAGCTACACATTAACTTTGCCATCTGTGTCAGTCGCAATGCAATCACTTGTACTGGACCAACATGTATCTTAGCTAGTTAGAACACTATATTGCCAAGACCAAAGCAACCCATTTCAGCTCAATATGTACATTGCTTAATACAATTTGCAGGTAAGCAAACATGTTCCATCCACATAAATTGCCAGACTAATTTACACCAGTCTGGAGTTACCAATTTACATCCAACCCCAGTTTACATTCACAATATGCGGGGCCAATAAATCAGCGATGAATCACAGCATTGCTCCCACAAATCAAAACTGATGTGTGGATTACTACCAAGGCCAGTAAGGCAGGGTTACCCTTCCTAGCTTATCATTCCTAGACCATAAAATGGTAAAAGTTGCCTAGTTTCAATGGGAGACAGTTTCAGAATTGACTCTGGCATGCTGGGCTTGGCCCGTTTATTCAAGAAGGAAACCAAGGAATGTTACGACATTACCAATGATGAGTGAGGATACTGGCTGTAGAGGCGGTGGTAGCGGTGGAGGTATCGTGGGTTTCTTGCGTCGACCTCTGGCCATGCTTCGCCAGTCATCCACGGGTTTATACAATCTCTCCTTGTCCATCTTACCCATCATCGTCCCGGCAAATCATGACCCCCGAAAATGTCCGACCAAAAACGCCGACCCTGAAAGACTTCATGAGAGGACCAGTAGTACTAGCGGACCGAACATACACATGTGCATGTAAGCTCAATACCCCGCTGCATACACACAGCACACCACACAAACTGCTTGAACATTCCCACATTGCATTCTGATAGTCTCCTTTAAGCAATAAATCGTGCAGGAATTTTTTTCATGTGTCCCTGCCCGCCACAGGCTTGAAAACAGGAGGCCAGGAAATATGGGGAAAAAAGGGAGGCCTTGGGTTGTAAGGAACACCAACTGGGAAGTTGGTTCCAGTATTAATAAACCATGGAGGCCAGCGACGGCAGTGCAGTCAGTCGGGCCTAATATTAAATACTCCATTTCAGCCTAGGTGGAAATAGAAAATATGGCTATTACATATTGCGTTTATGAGCTTACCAACAGTGACGTGAGCCAATACCATCAGTTTCTGGTTGAAAGCTTCAATGTAATCCATCCTGCGCGAGTGTGTAGGCGGGAGGAGGACGGGACGACACTGATGGGTAGCAGCAACGCAGCAACGTGCACAGTCCAGTTGTGAAAGCAATTACGTCAATCTTTGGATACGCATGTACTGATTCACATCATGGGTGTCACAATACACAATACACCTTGACATAAATGTCTACCCAGACAATAAAAAGGGGGAGGAGAGACCAGATACAACCAGACAAAAACACCAAATATCGTTGTTGACTACTACTCAATCAAATAAAACAAACACCCCAAAAATCAGAGTCCGACTGTTTGTGAAGTGTACACGTGTGAACTCCTGGTACTTCACAATTTGCATTGCATGCGGAACATGTACACGACACGGGGAACACTTGTCCATATCTTGATTAAGCCTTAATGTCAAAGCCTCTCCGTTCTGGCTTTGGTCGTCAAACTTGACTACGGGTACCCTTAGCACCATGGCAATTGACAATTTACCTCAATGGAATGCAGGGCTGCACTGTTGGTTGGTCTGGTACTAGAGAATACTCTGCCAATTGAGTCAAGGGGGGGGGGGGTGGTAGGGAGGCGCAGAGGGGAGAGATGAGACGGGATGAGAGAACAGATGCCTGGTTGTTCGTCTCCGGGGGAATCATCCTCAGGAGCGGTACAAACTATCCGCCTTCGCAGCGGACTGAAAAGCAAGCTGGCTATACCAGCTCCGAGGAGTCAGCTAATAACGCCGGCTTGTCTCACTACACTGGATTTAATGCACCGATAATTCAATCTCTGACATTTAATTATGCATTCAAATACATTCTGCACCGCTTTTTTTTTTTCTTCTTCCCCCGGTTTAATTCCATTTCGAAGAGTGGAAAGGGCATAATTGAATTTTGTAGAGTTTTTTTTTTCCCTTGTGGACTGATGAAATTGATAGGGGAATCCATTAGTATGAATCATTATGTGTAAATAAAGATGGGGCACTAATACTGGCAATGTTTTTTTCACAGTTTTTTTGTCTGATTTCCAGACATCCTTCATTAAAATAAAATAGACTGATTTTCGGTGGGGAAGGGAGCCATCAAAAAATAAAAAAGACTTTTGATTAAAAAAAGCCATAATTAAAAGTGTCTTAACTATGTGCACTGTACATGAATTGGTATCCCCTTCATTTGCTCTTACCATACGCCGTGTTTTAAGCAATCGGTTTTGGGTGATTGATGCAAAATTCTGGTTTCAAAACAATTTGAGAATTCAAAATTTATAATCAGCTTAGTAGCCGATCCTTTTCAAACAGGGTAGTCTCGGTCCTTTATTGTGATTACCATTTTACAAGAACTAGAGATTCAAAAATAACTTTGATTTGGGGTTCTGTTGTTTGTCTAAAACTGTTCAGTATATATACCCCCAAATCAACACCACAAATGTGTCTCATTGAGTCAGTACTTGACTAGTTATTTTGATTTCTTCAAACTCAGCGCCTTATTTGGACACATCTGCACACCCCAAAAATCATTTCCATGATAAACATGTACATTTAGTGCTAGCAATTCGCGATCAACATACTACTACAACATAGTAGTTCATGAATACATGAACACTCACGAAACAAAAACAACCCCAGTCTGGTAGAGACACAACCCCAAAATATCCCAGGCAGTGTGGGATGGCGTGACACCACCATATGGTGGGCCAGCACAGCACGGTTCACTGCCAGGAGAAATAGCTGGTTGGCTGCCACTGATCTAATCAGACCTTGCAATTTCAAGGGGACGGCGTTAAAGGGTAACTCAGATAGGATCGGTTTCCCATGGAAAAACAAATTAATTAATGAGTAATACATGTACTCTTAAAATCACAATCTAATTTAAGCACATGCATGTACATGTACATGGGGAATTCCAGATTGGATCACTTTCTGCATGGTGCTTGTTTAAAATGAGATGAAACAAAAAAAATGTGTTTTCCAATTTTTTTTTTTAACATTTAAATTCCCAATTTTTATGGATGGGGGCAGGGGCAACAATAACATAAAAGACACGAAAGCTCTAGCAGTTAGCATCATAGTATTTACAAATAAACAGAAATGGTACCCCCTATGACTTAACAAAAACTACATAATATCCATTGTTATCAATTAAGTTTGCAAAAAATAATTAATGACTTAGTTAATTACAAGAGTCTAACAGAAAGATATGTCAATCAAGTCACAGTCATATCGTTTAGTATTAGTCGGAATGTCCAGCCTCAACGTGTGAACAAGCCCTGTCATGCAAACACTCATCGCTAACAGCTGCCAGGAGGGAAAGAATTCCTGCATCTTCCTCCTCTTCTGAATGCCATCTCCAGATTCTTTTACCAACTGACATTTTTCCAGAGTCATCGTCAAGCAGAGCACTTGCCAATTATTTAAGTCTGACCAAGGTGTAATAGACTGGTTCTCGGTGTCCTTAGCGCAAGTGAAGGTGATGAGCGTGTACAGTAGTGTTACTACTTTATGAACTCGAGAAATGAATCCGTCAGGGCCCTCGATGAAACTAGTACTGCATCTCTCAAGGAAGTTTCCCCGAAGATGCGCGAAAGAGACAGACAGAGATAGAGCAATCCATCACGAGTAATGATGACAAGTCTCAGCATCTGAAATCCTTAGAGGAGGCGGAACAGGGTGTCTGGATATGGGAGAACTCAACAGATCAGATAACCTACTTCACTGGAGAACAACTGGGGTACTCTAGACAAGGCAAAGACGTATGCAAGGTACTGTAGGTTCCTTCTTCAACATCAAAAGGTAGGAAAGCATGAGATTTACTTATACATGTACAATTCCTCCAGTTTCGATTTGATTCCTAGGGGTTGGGGTTAATGAACTCAATACAGACATGTACATGTACTGTATAAGAAATGTACACATACCGGTACATGTATCTGTATTGGATGTCAGTACCGTACTTGTCTAAACGAATCAAACACGGAGAAGCTCTTTTCGTAACAAATCTAGTCCAGATACATGAACATGTTGTATTTTGAATCAATGTACATACATTGTACATTAATTGGGAACTATGTAACACTAAGCCATACCTTGACATACATGTATGAGTTTTTGTTATGGATCATTGGATTGGTTGACTTGGAGTTGTACTTTTTTCAGACATGGTAAAAAGAAGGGGTTAACTTTTGTCACTGCGGTTTGTTTAAGAAAACAAACTTGCCAAGACTTCTAAAAATAGTCATGATAGTTGTAAATATTTGTAGCTACATGTATAAATGTGTATACAAATTTCATTGTACAAAATGTACGTGTGTACGTGCTAAATATAAAGGTTATCATATGTTTGACCCATCCACATACATGTACATACATACATATACATTGTACATGTGCACTTCTCAGTGAAATACAACTTTATGAACCTGGCACCCGACACTGTGACAATTTCATGTATCAGTTTACAACAATGTACATGTAACACACATGTTTACATGTAACACACAGAGTACAATGTACGTGGTACCGCATGTACAATGTACAAGTTCCCAATCATGTTTTTTTTTCTACGACAGACTAAACCATTCCATAGACCCAATTTCTAACCATATTTCAGAAAACAATATCTGCACTCTAGATGCATCACGCTCTAAGTACTCCTAGCCTGGGCAGAAAAATCAAACTATGGTAATATGACGCCCTCAAGGAAAAAACAACTCACACAACAAAAACCTCAAAAACAACTGGCCCCGTCTAATCGAGTTAGTCTAGCTCCGGCCCCCATGTTTATTCCCTAACGCGAGTGGGGAACATATTAGGAGCTGGTTTGCAACGGAATACCAGACCAAAATGGGAGGCAAATTAAATTTTCACCGCTAACATGTGTATCCCCATGTGGTGGAGGGGCAACGCCGTACTCCGGCAGTGTGGGAAAATGTGCTGGAATCTGGAGAGATGAAACTCCATGCTGGTTCTGATTATAAACAGGCTCAAGTCAAATATCCAATGTCTGCATGGTTACACACACTATAAAGCAACGTTTTATAGTTCTTTTGTTATACTTATGAAAAATATTGCAATATGGATTCTATTTTTATATGGCATCAGACATGCATCTGTTACTAGCTTCAATTTTTTAAAAAACATTCCAGACAGATGAACAGGAGTGTTGATATGATGAAAACAATAATTTATCACTTGTATTTCATATTTACAATGCATGCTCATTTACATATTTGAAGTCGTTGCAGTATCATATAGCATACAGGCATGTTAATGATGATGCACTTTGTGGTGTAATATTACTATCAAGAGCCCACTTCAAGAACTTTTACATATAATTTGGAGTCGAACTTTGCACTTTTCTTGAAGTTGAAAGGCACTTCAGAAGAGTGAGAAAATGAAGGGGTATAATGACTCCGCAGACGTACATGTAAAAACACAATTTAGATTGTCACTGAAAGATGAATTAAAATTTTAGATATAATTTTGCACGTTTTTGAAACTTAAATTACATTTTAAAACTGCGTTTTATTTA